GTGTGTGTGTGTGTGTGTGTGTGTGTGTGTGTGTGTGTGTGTGTGTGTGTCCTACCTGCAGTTCCTGCCCTCTGCCCGAGCAAACACTCTGATGGATAATCTTTTATGTCAGAAGCATAGTCAGACATGTAATAAGGCTTAAGTAGATCTCATTTGTGTGCTTGAGTGTGTGTGTGTGTCTAAGTGTGTATTTATGTGTGTGACACATAATAAGCCTTAAGTGTGCTCCATTACCCTGAGGTGATGTGATTATGATAAACTGCTGAGGAGATGAGGGGGCACGGAGAGAGGATGAGCAAAGGAGACGGAGGTAAAAAAGAAAAAAAAAACAGAAGATGATCAATATTTAGAAAAAAAATCTAAATTTTAATAAAAAGCAACACGTTTTGTCAGAATGGACATCAGTTTTGTATCACCAAACTCTAAGCTCTTACGTAAACATACAAGCCTTTTTTTTTTTTTTCTGAATACGAGCTCATTGTGGTACCTGCAGGAGACATTCAGAGCTGATTAAATTGCTCTTCTGTTTGAAACGAGTTCTGTTGGGGGAGATTTGATTATTAAAATGCATAGTTTCATCACTGTGAGCCACATTTAAAACACACAAATGGGACATTTATAGTCATGTGAAAGAGGGGAAAAAATCAATTCTAAATTTTACTCTTTAGGACATAATAAAAAAGTCTGGTTTTTACAAGGTTTATAAATAATTACATATAAGGATAAGGTGATTATTTTCTAAATAATCATCTTATCCATTCATTAAGGCCTCAATGCAGCCTGCTTGTGCTGATACACAGCGTGTTCTTACAGCTCCTTTATTCTTGTGGGACAGCCACTTGTTGCTTGAGCATTCCTCCTTACCATATAGGAACATTTAAATGTCATTCAAACTAAGAAAAAAATGCAGCATATCTAAAATTTTAGGATACGTCTTCAATATATTGTTAATAATGTGTTCCGTAAATATAAAAATTGTGTAGTTAAGCATGGTAGATTTGTTTTATAAAAAAATCTACTCTTGAATAGGTTGTTTTATAGATTCCTGTTGATCAGCACTGAACACAGAAGATTCAACG